TTTTATCTTTCATTTAAAATTCCCAGTAAAAACTTTCTGCTTATGTCTAAAAGGAATAAAAAAGTAATTTAAATATGTAAAAAAAGGCGTAGTAAAATGTTATGATAATTATGTACAATGAATAACACTAGTTTTATTCATGTAACACAAATAACCTTCACCTGAAAGAAAAAGGGAGGAGAGGAGAGCTGCCCAGTGTATTGATTCTACGTGCAGGTTATTTGTGTATTGTTCCAGTCACAGTATTGTGCCTTTTTTGTTATTTATTCATGTAAGCCACACAAGAACAAGGGGGCACTGATGGAAAATACCACACCAAATGAGTTAGGATTTTTTTTTTCAACAAACCGATATCTCCCGCTCAGATAGGTGACCCAAAAAAAAAAAAAACACTTTAAACCATCACTCACTCCATCACTGCCTTGCCTGATGGGTGCAATGCTACAGTACAAGACTGTAAATATCCCCACCCCTCCTTCAGAGTGCAGGCACTGTATTTCTCGCCTCCAGGGCTCAAGTCCGTCTAAACAGTTTCCCCTGAATCCCTTCAATACTGTTACCTTGCTAACACTCCAACTATATGTCAAGTTATAAAAACCACTTGCCTCCACTAACTCCTATCTAACATGCTTCTAGATGTCTAAGCCCCTCACACACAGTACCTCCTTTCTCCATCCCTACAACCATTTTCAGGAAATCCCCTACCTCACCTTCCCTCCACCTCACCTTTATAATGAAATTAATCAGCCTTTTGACAAAGGCAAGTTGGCAGTTTTTTCTTCAGTAATAAAAACATAAGGCAAATTTGGTATTTTACCTGAAGTACTGAAGATATTAAAAGAGCTAAGAAAATGCAAGCTGCTTGTGCCACCGGGTCAGCATGTGTAGCTTTGCAAATTCTCTCTGCATTCATCTTAACTTCATGATCCATGTAGAAATTTGGAACCCCTGAAAAATAAATGCAAAGAATCAGGTTATGAAGTTAAATACATGTAGCACTTCAAAATTAATAAACTCAAAAACATCATACAAACATATTTTGAAATATACAGATCAATTATTCTTCTGAGTTTCTGTCTCCATGGATAACCATGTTTGATCTGGACCAATTATGTGGCATAGAACCGTTGCGTGGCATGGGGCTTGGACAAGCAGCAGGCATGTTTGAGCATGTTAGATAGGAGACAATGGAGACGAATGGTTTTGGGGACCTGATGAGCTGTTGGAGCATGAGCAGGGTAATATATTATGTGAAGGGATTCAGGGAAACTGGTTAGCCGGACCAGAGTCCAGGAGGTGGGAAGTACAATGCCTGCACTAAAGGAGGGGTTTGGGATATTAGCTGTTTGGAGTGATATCTAAATTGTTGTATCTGGGTGCCTCTGCAAATACAGTGATTATGTGTGATGATGGTGAAAGTGTTTCTTTCGTTTTTGGGTCACCCTGCTTGGTGGGAGACAGCCAACGTATTGAAAAAAAGAAAAGTTTTATGATGTAAAAAAAAGATAGTATTGTTGGGGTACTGATGTGGCAAGAGTACCTTAGTTCATATACACATGGACAACTGCCTAGCCATTTCATATTATTATTATTATTTTTTTTTTTAACAAGTCGGCCGTCTCCACCAAGGCAGGGTGACCCAAAAAGAAAGAAAATCCCCAAAAAGAAAATACTTTTATCATCATTCAAACACTTTCACCTCACTCACACATAATCACTGTTTTTGCAGAGGTACCAGAACACAAACAGTTTAGAAGCATATACGTATAAAGATACACAACATATCCCTCCAAACTGCTAATATCCCAAAACTCCTCCTTTAGAGTGCAGGCATTGTACTTCCCATTTCCAGGACTCAAGTCCGGCTATATAAAAATAACCGGTTTCCTTGAATCCTTCACTAAATATTACCCTGCTCACACTCCAACAGATCGTCAGGTCCCAAATACCATTCGTCTCCATTCACTCCTATCGAACACGCTCATGCACGCCTGTTGGAAGTCCAAGCCCTCGCCCACAAAACCTTCTTTACCCCTTCCTTCCAACCTTTTTGAGGACGACCCTTACCCCGCCTTCCTTCCCCTACAGATTTAAATGCTCTCCATGTCATTCTACTCTGATCCATTCTCTCTAAATGACCAAACCACCTCAACAACCCACTTTCAGCCTCTGACTAATATTTTATTAACTCCACACCTTCTCCTAATTTCCACACTCCGAATTTTCTGCATAATATTTACACCACACATTGCCCTTAGACAGGACATCTCCACTGCCTCCAACTCCAAGCTATTATTATTATTATTATTATTATTATTATTATGTATTATTATTATTATAGGTAGTAGGTTGGTAGACAGCAACCACCCAGGGAGGCACTACCGTCCTGCCAAGTGAGTGTAAAATGAAAGCCTGTACTTGTTTTACATGATGGTAGGATTGCTGGTGTCCATTTTTCTGTCTCACAAACACGCAAGGTTTCAGGTACATCTTGCTACTTCTACTTGCACCTAGGTCACACTACACATGCATGTACAAGCATATATATACACACCCCGCAGGTTTTTTTTCTATTTTCTTACTAGTTCTTGTTCTTGTTTATTTCCTCTTATCTCCATGGGGAAGTGGAACAGAATTCTTCCTCCGTAAGCCATGCGTGTTGTAAGAGGCGACTAAAATGCCTGGAGCAAGGGGCTAGTAACCCCTTCTCCTGTATATATTACTAAATGTAAAAGGAGAAACTTTCGTTTTTCCTTTTGGGCCACCCCGCCTCGGTGGGATATGGCCAGTGTTAAAAAAAAAAAAAAAAAAAAAAAAAAAAAAAAAAAAAAAATGTATATATATTATTATTATTATTATTTTTTTTTTTCAACAAGTATTATTATTATTATTATTATTATTATTATGTATTATTATGTATTATTATTATTATTATTATTATTATTATTATGTACATGTGTATTATCATAACTCAGCACTAAACCTAGAATAGTAATTTCATAAATGTATATTTTATTGCAACTGCTACAAGAGATGGTGCAGGTGCCTGCACTATCTCTTGAGCTGGCATTAACCCTCTTGGACCTTTTATTATTTCAGTTTTTTAGTAATGGCTTTGATAGTGATGAAAGTGTTGTATTTTTTTTTTTAACATGCTGGTCATCTCCCACCAAGTCAGGTGACTAGAAAATAAAGAAAACCTTGTAAAGCCCTTCTTCTTTTTACATTTAGTAATTTATACAGGAGAAGGGGTTACTAGCCCTTTGCTCTCGGCATTTTACTCGCCTCTCATAACATAACCCCATAGAGCAAAGATCTATATATACTTAATGCAATAAGATCACAGTAAATAGATGATATCACAATATGCAAAATAACCACAGTGAAAAAGTAGTGAAATTCCAATTGCTTTTGTGATTTCTCACATTTTCAAAGCACTTGGAATTTCACTATGGTTATTGTGCTTTTTTTTTTTTTTTTTTTTTTTTTTTTTTCAACAAGTCGGCCGTCTCCCACCGAGGCAGGGTGACCCAAAAAAGAAAGAAAATCCCCAAAAAGAAAATACTTTCATCATCATTCAACACTTTCACCACACTCGCACATTATCACTGTTTTTGCAGAGGTGCTCAGAATACAACAGTCTAGAAGCATAAACATATAAAGATACACAACATATCCCTCCAAACTGCCAATATCCCAAACCCCTCCTTTAAAGTGCAGGCATTGTACTTCCCATTTCAGGACTCAAGTCCGACTATATGAAAATAACCGGTTTCCTGAATCCCTTCACTAAATATTACCCTGCTTCACACTCCAACAGATCGTCAGGTCCCAAGTACATTCGTCTCCATTCACTCCTATCTAACACGCTCACGCACGCTTGCTGGAAGTCCAAGCCCTTACCCACAAAAACCTCCTTTACCCCCTCTCTCCAACCCTTTCGAGGACGACCCTACCCCGCCTTCCTTCCCCTATAGATTTATATGCTTTCCATGTCATTCTACTGTGATCCATTCTCTCTAAATGACCAAAACCACCTCAACAACCCCTCTTCTGCCCTCTGACTAATATTTTATTAACTCCACACCTTCTCCTAATTTCCACACTCCGAATTTTCTGCATAATATTTACACCACACATTGCCCTTAAACAGGACATCTCCGCTGCCTCCAACCGTCTCCTCGCTGCTGCATTTACCACCCAAGCTCACACCCATATAAGAGTGTTGGTACTACTAATACTTTCATACATTCCTTCTTTGCCTCCATAGATAACGTTTTTTGACTCCACATATACCTCAACGCACCACTCACCTTTTTTCCCTCATCAATTCTATGATTAACCTCATCCTTCATAAATCCATCCGCCGACACGTCAACTCCCAAGTATCTGAAAACATTCACTTCTTCCATACTCCTCCTCCCAATTTGATATCCAATTTTTCTTTATCTAAATCATTTGACACCCTCATCACCTTACTCTTTTCTATGTTCACTTTCAACTATTTACCTTTACACACATTCCCAAACTCATCCACTAACCTTTGCAATTTTTCTTTAGAATCTCCCATAAGCACAGTATCATCAGCAAAAAGTAACTGTGTCAATTCCCATTTTGAAATTTGATTCCCATAATTTAATCCCACCCCTCTCCAAACACCCTAGCATTTACTTCCTTACAACCCCATCTATAAATATATTAAACAACCATGGTGACATTACACATCCCTGTCTAAGACCTACTTTTACGGAAGTAGTCTCTCCTCTCTTCTACACACCCTAACCTGAGCCTCACTATCCTCATAAAAACTCTTTACAGCATTTAATAACTTACCACCTATTCCATATACTTGCAACATCTGCCACATTGCTCCTCTATCCACTCTATCATATGCCTTTTCTAAATCCATAAATGCAATAAAAACTTCCCTATCTTTATCTAAATACTGTTCACTATATGCTTCAATGTAAACACCTGATCTACACATCCCTACCACTCTAAAACCTCCTTGGCTCATCCGCAATCCTACATTCTGTCTTACCTCTAATTCTTTCAATTATAACCCTACCGTACACTTTTCCTGGTATACTCAGTAAGCTTATTCCTCTATAATTTTTACAGTTCTTTTGTCCCTTTCCCTTTATATAAAGGGACTATACATGCTCTCTGCCAATCCCTAGGTACCTTCCCTCTTTCATACATTTATTAAACAAAAGTACCAACCACTCCAACACTATATCCCCCCCTGCTTTTAACATTTCTGTCATGATCCATCAGTTCCAGCTGCTTTACCCCCTTTCATTTTACGTAATGCCTCACGTACCTCCCCACACTTACATTCTGCCTTCTTCACTCCTAAAAGATGGTATACCTCCTGACCAGTGCATGAAATTACTGCCTCTGTTTCTTCCTTAACATTTAAAAGTTCCTCAAATATTCTCGCCATCTTCCCAATACCTCCATCCCCCCATCTACTAACTCCCCTACTCTGTTTTTAACTGACAAATCCATATTTTCCCTAGGCTTTCTTAACTTGTTAACTCACTCCCAAAATTTTTTCTTATTTCATTAAAATTTCTTGACAGTGCCTCTCCCACTCTATCATCTGCTCTCCTTTTGCACTCTCTCACCACTCTCTTTACCTTTCTTTTACTCTCCATATACTCTGCTCTTCTTATAACACTTCTGCTTTGTAAAACCTCTCATAAGTACCTTTTTCTCTTTTATCACACCCTTTACTTCATCATTCCACCAATCACTCCTCTTTCCTCCTGCCCCCACCCTCCTATAACCACAAAACTTCTGCCCCACATTCTAATACTGCATTTTTAAAACTATTCCAACCCTCTCTCAACCCCCCACTACTCATCTTTGCACTAGCCCACCTTTCTGCCAATAGTCGCTTATATCTCACCCGAACTTCCTCCTCCCTTAGTTTATACACTTTCACCTCCTCTTACTTGTTGTTGCCACCTTCCTCTTTTCCCATTACCTCTTACTCTAACTGTAGCTACAACTAAATAATGATCCGATATATCAGTTGCCCCTCTATAAACATGTACATCCTGGAGCCTACTCATCAACCTTTTATCCACCAATACATAATCTAATAAACTACTTTCATTACGTGCTACATCATACCTTGTATATTTATTTATCCTCTTTTTCATAAAATATGTATTACTTATTACAAATTTCTTTCTACACATAGCTCAATTAAAGGCTCCCCATTTACATTTACCCCTGGCACCCCAAATTTACCTACTACTCCCTCCATAAACATTTTTACCCACTTTAGCATTAAAATCCCCAACCACCATTACTCTCACACTTGATTCAAAACTCCCCGCATTCACTCAACATTTCCAAAATCTCTCTCTCTCCTCTACACTTCTCTCTTCTCCAGGTGCATACACGCTTATTATAACCCACTTTTCACATCCAATCTTTATTTTACTCCACATAATCCTTGAATTAATACATTTATAGTCCCTCTTTTCCTGCCATAGCTTATCCTTCAACATTATTGCTACTCCTTCTTTAGCTCTAACTCTATTTGAAACCCCTGACCTAATCCCATTTATTCCTCTCCACTGAAACTCTCCACCCCCTTCAGCTTTGTTTCACTTAAAGCCAGGACATCCAGCTTCTTCTCATTATAACATCCACAATCATCTCTTTCTTATCATCTGCACAACATCCACGCACATTCAGACTTCCCACTTTGACAATTTTCTTCTTCTTATTCTTTTTAGTATCTTTACAGGAAAAGGGGTTACTAGCCCATTGTTCCCGGCATTTTAGTTGACTTTTACAACACGCATGGCTTACGGAGGAAAGATTCTTATTCCACTTCCCCATGGATATAAAAGGAAAATTAATAAGACCAAGAACTATTAAGATAAAATCAAAGAAAACTCAGATGAGTGTGTATAAATAAATGTGTACATGTATGTGTAGTGTGACCTAAGTGTAAGTAGAAGTAGCAAGACATGCCTGTAATCTTGCATATTTATGAGACAGACAAAAGACATCAGCAATCCTACCATCATGTAAAACAATCACAGGCTTCGTTTTACACTCACTTGGCAGGACGGTAGTACCTCCCTGGGTGGTTGCTGTCTACCAACCTACTACCTTATATACTTATATACTTATATACTTATATGCTTATATACTTAAATTATAAAATAGCTTCAATAGCAAACCTAAAAGGAGAGCAGAAGGAAGACAGGAGTTATCACTGGGATTGACAGTGTGTATTCCTCTTGACATTTCTTCTTTCACTTGCCTATAGACAGCTTGTGCAGCAGCATGAGGGTTGGCAGAGTAGCCCTCCATAGTTATCACCTAAAAATGAAGAAAAACAGGCAATTTAGGTTTTTAGTTAATATTCGTAATGCTTCGTCACAACTTGTACACAGTTACCAAATTTTATTCTGTATTAGCATACTCATGGCAAAGCACTAAACCCAGAGGGGTCATACAACACCTGGGAAAAAAGAAGTATTAAGGTTGGATCTGAGAGAGGAATGGTAACTTTAATTTACTAATCAAGAGGTTATCACCAAAATCAAGATACTACCCTTGAAGGAAGAACCTATTCCAATATGTTGCAAATATTATAGGCTCAGCAACAGTGCTTTTACTAATATCTAATATTTTTTTTTAAAACATCGGCCACCTCCCAGCAAGGCAGGTAACCTGAAAAAGAAGAAACAAAAGTTTTTCTCTTTACATTTATTAATTTATACAGGAGAAGGGGTTACTAGCCCCTTACTCCTGGCATTTTTGTTGCCTCTTATGACACATGAGTTACAGAGGAAGGATTCTTCTCCACTTCCCCATGGGTCTATCAGAGGTACAGACCTCAACTGACAAAAATTAAGTAAGCATAGTGATTAATGATGTAAAGCCCTTACAGTATGAAAGAAAATATTCGCTTCCACTCACTTTGTGTAAAATAAAGAGAATTGAAATACAGACAACAAAGATATACACACTCATTTTAACTTTCCTCTGGTAATGTTTGTGAAGTATTTCATGTAATGTTTAGTCAGTAGACTAACTTTTTCCATGAATGGAGAGAGCAGGTGACCAGGTGAGGGATCAAGGTCAGCATACCCATGAATCCTCCACTGGTCAAGTTGTGAGGCCAGCTCCAGCTCATCCACAACACCTCCCCATCTCATCAAAGACTCTAGTGTTAGCAACTGTTAAATGAGAAAGATAATGTTAAGTATTGGAAAAAAATCCATAGTTATTATTAATATATTTTTTCCAACATACTGACTGTCTCCCACCAAGACAAAATGACCCAAAAGAAAACTAAAAAGTTTATTTTCTTATTATTATTTTTTTTATTATCACACTGGCCGATTCCCACCAAGGCAGGGTGGCCCGAAAAAGAAAAACTTTCACCATCATTCACTCCATCACTGTCTTGCCAGAAGGGTGCTTTACACTACAGTTTTAAACTGCAACATTAACACCCCTCCTTCAGAGTGCAGGCACTGTACTTCCCATCTCCAGGACTCAAGTCCGGCCTGCCGGTTTCCCTGAATCCCTTCATAAATGTTACTTTGCTCACACTCCAACAGCACGTCAAGTATTAAAAACCATTTGTCTCCATTCACTCCTATCAAACACGCTCACGCATGCCTGCTGGAAGTCCAAACCCCTCGCACACAAAACCTCCTTTACCCCTCCCTCCAACCTTTCCTAGGCCGACCCCTACCCGCCTTCCTTCCACTACAGACTGATACACTCTTGAAGTCATTCTGTTTCGCTCCATTCTCTCTACATGTCCGAACCACCTCAACAACCCTTCCTCAGCCTCTGGACAACGTTTTGGTAATCCCGCACCTCCTCCTAACTTCCAAACTACGAATTTCTGCATTATATTCACACCACACATTGCCTCAGACATGACATCTCCACTGCTCCAGCCTTTCCTCGCTGCAACATTCATCACCATGCTTCACACCCATATAAGAGCGTTGGTAAAACTATACTCTCATACATTCCCCTCTTTGCCTCCAAGGACAAAGTTCTTTGTCTCCACAGACACCTAAGTGCACCACTCACTCTTTTTCCTCATCAATTCTATGATTCACCTCATCTTTCATAGACCCATCTGCTGACACGTCCACTCCCAAATATCTGAATACGTTCACCTCCTCCATACTCTCTCCCTCAATCTGATATTCAATCTTTCATCACCTAATCTTTTTGTTATCCTCATAACCTTACTCTTTCCTGTATTCACCTTTAATTTTCTTCTTTTGCACACCCTACCAAATTCATCCACCAATCTCTGCAACTTCTCTTCAGAATCTCCCAAGAGCACAGTGTCATCAGCAAAGAGCAGCTGTGACAACTCCCACTTTGTGTGTGATTCTTTATCTTTTAACTCCACGCCTCTTGCCAAGACCCTCGCATTTACTTCTCTTACAACCCCATCTATAAATATATTAAACAACCACGGTGACATCACACTCCTTGTCTAAGGCCTACTTTTACTGGGAAAAAATTTCCCTCTTCCCACATACTCTAAACTTGAGCCTACTATCCTCGTAAAAAACTCTCACTGCTTCAGTAACCTACCTCCTACACCATACACTTGCAACTCTCCACATGCCCCCCTATCCACCCTGTCATACGCCTTTTCCAAATCCATAAATGCCACAAGACCTCTTTAGCCTATCTAAATACTGTTCACTTATATGTTTCACTGTAAACACTGGGCCACACACCCCTACCTTTCCTAAAGCCTCCTTGTTCATTGCTATCCTATTTTCCATCTTACTCTTAATTCTTTCAATTATAACTCTACCATACACTTTACCAGGTATACTCAACAGAACTTATCCCCTATAATTTTTGCACTCTTTTTTAAACCCCCCTTTGCCTTTAACAAAGGAACTAGGGCATGCTCTTCCCAAATCCATAGGTACCTTTACCCTTTTTCCAAAACATTTATTAATAATTGCCCCAAACCACCCCCAAATACTATATCCCCACCTGCTTTTAACATTTCTATCTTTTTCCCTCAACCCCAGCTGCCTTACCCCCTTTTCTTTTTACCTATGCCTCACGAATTTCCCCCCACACTCAAAAACTGGCTTTTCCTCCCCCTAAAGATTTTTATTCCTCCTTGCCCTATCCCACGAAATCACAGCTTCCCTATCTTCATCAACTTTTAAAAACAATTCCCCCAAAATTTTCCCTCCATCTTCCAAACCTCAAAACCTCCATTTAATAACCCCTCCTCTCCTTTTTTTTAGCTGACAAATCCATTTGTTTCTGGGTTTTCTTTAACTTTTAATTTTCCACCCCAAAACTTTTTCTTATTTTCAAAAAATTTTTTGTTGTAACATCCCCCCACTCCCCCCTTTGCTCTTTTTTTACAGTTCACCACTCTCTTAAACCCTCTTTTTTTCTCCATATATCTTCCCCCCTTTGCATCACTTTACTTTTTTAAAAATTCTCATATCTAACTTTTTCCCCCCTTAAATACTTCTTTACATTTTTTTTCCCAACCCAAATTCCCCCTTTTCCCCCTTTTTTTGAAACCCCCCTTTCCCGGTAACCAAAAAACTTTGTGAACACTTTTAAAAATACTTTTTTAAACCTCCCCCATCCCTCTTCGCCCCCATTCCCTTGCTCCCTTTTAGCCCACCCAAATCCTCCAATAGCTGTTTATATTTACCCAAACCCTCCCTCCTCTTTTGGGTTTTAAAAACCCTTCACCTCTCTTTTCCGTGTGCTTCTATTCCCCTTTGGGTATCCCATCTCCCTTTTTTATTTCTCAGTGTACCCTACAAATGAAAGTGTTTTTTTTGATATATCTGTGGCCCCCTAATAAAACTTTGTAAACCCTAAAGTCTACTCCAGTCTTTTATCTCCCAATACTTTAACCCAACAAAACTCCCGTCTTTTTCCCCTTTAACACCCAATCTTGTAACTTTTTTACCCCTTTTTTTCTTAAAATATGTTTACCAAAAAACTAAACCCCTTTCAAAACCAAATTTCAACAAAGGTTTCCCAAATTATCATTTACACCTGGCACCCCCAATTTAAACCTACCAACCCTCCCCTTAAAAAGTTTCTCCTATTTACCCATTCAGGTCCCCTCCAAAAATTCCCTCTCCTTTGGGGGGGTTAAAAGGGGCCCCTATACATTCCCCTTAAACCATCCCCCAAAAATTCCCCTCTCTCCTCTGAAATTTCCTCTCTTTTCCAGGTGTCCCACGTTATTTTTGACCCATTTCTCGCATAAAAACCTTTTCTTTAATCCACTTTAATTCTTGAATTTACACATTCTTTTTTTCTCTTTTTTTTCCTTCCTTAACTGATCTTTTAAACATTACTGCTACCCCCTTCCTTTGCTCTAACTCTCTCAGTTTAATCCAGATTTAATCCCTTTTTATTTCCCCCCACTGAAACTCTCCTCCCCCCTTCAGCTTTTTTTCGCTTGGGGCCGGGACACCAAACTTCTTTTTTTTAAAAAACTTTCAGAAATCATCTTTTTTCTTGTATCCGCATAATCCAGCACTTTTAAAGGGGCATCCCGGGTTTTTTTAAAGTTTTTCTTTTTCTTTTTTTTTGTAAATGTCAAACGGGGGAAAAGGGGGTTTTACTAGCCCATTGCCCCGGGGCATTTTAGTCGCCTCTTTCGAAACGCATGGCTTACGGGGGAAAAGATTTTTTTCCCATTTCCCCCCATGGACAATAGAAAAAATTTTAAAGAAAAAACAAGGTATTTAAAAAAAAGGGAGAAAACCCTAGTGTATGATATTATATGCATGTGCGTGTCTGGAAGTGGGCCCAAAAGTGTAATTTAAGGAGTGGGCAAGATATCCCTGTTATCTAGCGTGTTTATGAGACAGAAAAAAAAAACCAAAATTTCCAACCATCATGAAAAAACAGTTACGGGGTTTTTTTCACACCCATCTGGCAGGTTTGGGAGTACTTCCCTGGGTGGTTGCTGTCTACCAACCTACTACCACACCAAACCTACTACCTAAAATTTAGTATTTTTAAAAGGAGGGAAAGGGGGACTCCTAAATTAAAATGATTAATCAAATTTTTTTTTAAATTTTTTCCGGCCCTTGGGCTGACTGTTTTTTGGTTTTTACAAAATTTTCCAATAGGGGAACTTAACTTAAAATTTCTATGAACTTTTTTTTCTCCTCATTTCCCCGGGAAAACAGTGATCTACTGTACAACATATGCCCTTTCACATATGCCTTTCCCCATTTTCCATGCACATAAGCATTTCACATAAGCCATGTCCCTATGCCTTGTTTCATATACCTTGCACAATGCCTTACACATGAAATTGCAAATATGCCCCTGCACATAAATTCCCCCGCACATATGCCTTTCAATTTTGCTTGAAAAAATGCTTTGGGACATATGCCACACACATAACTTGCACATTTTTGCCCTTTCAATAGCCTTGGGGGACATTTTCCAAGCACACGTCGGGGACAATGCCTTTTCACATATGCCATGCACACATGTCCTTTCACATATTTCCTTGCACATATGGGCCCTGCCCCTGATTGGGGTGGTTCCCTTTAGTGATTATCTGACTTGTATAATTTTTTTTTTTTTTTTTTTTAAAAAAGGCGGCCGTTTTTCCCACCGAGGCCCGGGGGACCCAAAAAAAGAAAAAAAAACCCCAAAAAGAAAATATTTCACATCCCTTCAAAAACTTTTTACCACCCCTCCGACATTATTTACTGTTTTTTCAGAGGTGGTCAAATTTCCAAAAAGTTTAGAAGCTACACATATAAAGATACAAACAAACCCTCCAAAAAATTTTTTATAATTATAAGTTTAAAAAACTAACCCTTTAAACCCCCTTTAGGGGCCACAGGGCCCTTTTTAGAGACTTGATCAGGGGGCCCCCCAAAAACAAAAAAAAAAAAAATTTTTTTTCTTGTGAAAAAATAGAGAATCTTTTCCGATCATTTAATTTACACCAAAAATAAAAGGGAAAATTTTATGGAAAAACTTACGGGAAATTTTGCCCCTCGGGGAAGTTAGCGGTTTTCGACGATGTTTTTCGCATCGGCGAAATTTTTTGCCATTTTGAGCCTATTTTCGGCCAATTCCCCAAAGGGTTTGTTTGACAAAAATCATAACTATTTCCCCCCCTTTGAACTCCAAATTTTTTCCCATTGAAAAGAGTACAAGAAAACACCCAAATTTTCCGATTTTTTAAATATCCAAAACAGTGGTCGAATTTTGCAATTTTGCCCCAAATTTTAAACAAATTTTAAAAAATGCCAAAATTTCCAAAAAGGGCCAGGGAAAAAAACAAGAAAGACATTCCTGGGACTAAAAATAAAATTTTTCCCCCGGGTTTATTGTCATGTCCCCCAAGGGCCCCCCTTCATTCTTTTGGGTTTCCCTTTTTTAATTTTTTATTCTCACAAAAAATTTAAAAAATTTTCTGTTATGGGCAAAACTAATGCATTAGTGTAGATATGGGTTTAAAAAATATCGGTGAAATTTGAAAAGAAAAATTAGACTACCAGTTTACCCTGTAATTTTGGGCCTTAAATGATTTGGGTTTAAATTTTGAATTTGGTTTTTAAAACGAAAAATTTCTGGGTAAATTTGAGCTTTAAATTTTAAGGGACTTTTCATTTTTACAACCCGCAAAATCATCTCAATTTTTGGTAATTTGTCTTCCATTCTATACAATGAGACCCCGGAAAACTAGAATACAACAATAAATACCATAAAGAAAATACAGTGCAAAGTTTTCTGTTTTAATCCCAAAAAAAACGGTCAAAATTTTTTTTTTCTCTTTTTTGTACTGTTTGTGCAGAATTTTTTTACACTGCGCCACTGATGGCATAGACCCCTTCTTTATATACAGTGGACCCCCGGGTTTAAAGATATTTTTTCACTCCAGAAGTATGTTTTAGGTGGGCCCGTACTGACCGAATTTTTTTCCCAAAAAGGGAAAAATTGTGAAGTAGATTAGTCCCCTTTCAACCCCCAAAAAATAGACGTACAAACCCCTTTCATAAATCACTTTTCATAATTGGGCCACATTCGGGGGTGATTTATTATGCGGGGGTCCACCCGTATAGGCCTACCCGGGTTTCTCCACTAGATTTGAAAGGGGCTAGAAAATTTAAAGAAAAACTAGAAACGTCATGGACCCTGGTGCATAAGCCGATTTAGTTACGGCCGAAACCCTGAAAGGGTTAAGAGCACAATGGTAAAAATTTTTTTGTAACACAGGCTGTCTCCCACTGGGGGTAGGGTAACCCAAAAAAGAAAACCCACTTTCACCATCATTCACTCCTTACTGTCTTGCCAGAGGTGTGCCCCTCCAAACTGAAGGAAAATTTTCCCTGGCCCTGAACATACATATCCCTAAAATTCAACAAAAAAAAAAGGGGAGGAATTCATTAAAAAATGGCTACATCCAGTTATGTACTAGAACTCACTATACTACACTACGTAATAGATCTACCCATATACAGTGGAACCTCGGTACTCGAACAGCTCTCTACTTGAACAAAAATCGGCACTCAACCAAACAATCACAACCTGCCAGAACTTTGCTGTTTAACTATTTGCGTTTTCTTCGCATTTTTTGGTGTTTTTTTTTATATTATTTGTATAAATAAGTCACCATGGGGCCTATGAAGATGAGGGATAAAAGCCAACCAAAAAGAAAACTGGTTGGGAAGAATTCATTCGATGCTCTCGAACAGACTGGCACTCGAACAGCCTTCTGGAATGAATTAAGTTCAAGTGCCGAGCCGAGGTTCCACTGTAACAGCTTATGAAAAGCACCACAGTGGAAAACAGGGTATAAAAACCCGAGAGCCCTTTATGTGCTTACACATATATGTTCCTCTGAAGATATGCATGTGTAAGTACATGAAAGGACTCAGGTTTTATTTTTTATTTTCACTGTGGTATTTTTTTCATATTTGGATCCCCTTTTTTTATTGTGATTTTTTCCAAATTTAGTGTATGTATGTATAAAACTAAACAAAAGACTAATTTCAAAACATAACACAAGAGGTAGCCATGAGAATCATCATCATGGTGTTCGGTACACACAGGTTTGTGCCAAAATTTAGGAACATATTTTCGTACAGGGGTGTGGTTCGTACATCAGTTTGCATGCGGCAGCAGTACAGCCTGGTGATTCAAGCCCTGATTCACTGCAAGGCCTGGTCCACAGACCGAGCCATGAGGGTGCCCAGGTCTGTGACAAGATAAGATAAGATAAGATTAAGATTTCGTTCGGATTTTTAAACCCCGGAGGGTTAGCCACCCAGGATAACCCAAGAAGTCAGTGCGTCATCGAGGACTGTCTAACTTATTTCCATTGGGGTCCTTAATCTTGTCCCCCGGGATGCGACCCACACCAGTCGACTAACACCCAGGTTTCCTATTTGCTGCTAGGTGAACAGGACAACGGTGTAAGGGAAACGTGTCGAAATGTTTCCACCCGCCGGGAATCGAACCCCGGGCCCTCGTTTTGTGAAGCGGGGGCTTTAGCCACCAGGCCCCCGGCCACCCCTCTCTGGGTTTTACTCCAGGGAAACCATACTAGAAAATCAAGAATGTCGACATGAGCAGATACAAGTTAGTCAAGACAGGTAGAGTCAGTTAGTGACAAAGCTGCAAGTTAATGAACCAGTGACAGTGCAGGATGGAGCATTAAACAAATACAGTGAGATAGTGAATAACAAATAAAGTTAAACAATAAAATAAGTAGCAGCGTGAATCTTTTTATTAAATGTTTCACCTTAAATAGGGTTTTATTAAGTCTATCCCGCACTGACTTAATAAAGCCCTATTTAGAGTGAAATGTCTAAGTGAAGGGTCACTCTACTACACGTATTTTACATTCCTATTTTGTTGGCTCTGTGTCATTCATTCAAGTAAAGGCAGTGCTGTGACTTGCCACTCTGTGCTGTGCTGCAAGACTTGTAGTAACCAGGTGCTGTTATACAGTGAAGTAACTCTGTAATTACCTGCTCAACTGCATAATTTTCATTAATACATCCAGACTGTTACTACTGCTGTATTTCACCAGCTCTGAAATATTACAATTATATGACATGTCTCTTATGTCTATACATATTAATTGTAAAGTGTTTCTAATGCCATTTTGTTTATATGCAAAGAAAACAAAACCCTCCTATAAAATTTTTTGCTATAATGAATCATCCAATTCTTAATTTCAGGCAATTTTTAATATCAATTTTATACGTATACAGTATGAAGTGTCATTAGAGATATACAATGCTGTAAACTTATGTGAAAAATTACAAAAAGTGCTTGAAAATTCACTATTTTTTCACAGTGGTTATTTTGCATATTGTGATATCACCTGTTTACTATCTTAATAATAATATCTTTATTTACTACAAGTACATGTACAAGGTATACAGACCACAGCTGACATCAATGACATACTACTACATAGAAAGCCACTTGTTATGCTGAGCATTTCAGGCAAATTAGGTCAATTTTGTCCCAGGATGCGACCCACACAGTCAACTAACACCAAGGTACCCATTTTACTGATAGGGAAAAAAAACAACCGATGAAAAGGAAACACCCCCAATGTTTCTACCCTTACTGAGAATCGAACCCAGACCCTTGCCATGTGAAGCAAGAGCTTTAGCCACCAGGCCACAGGGCAGCACTAAGGCACATGTATAGGAATTTTGAAGCATTTTCATAACCTCATTATAAAGATATTGACCAAAACAACATTCATCATTAAATTCATGAGGAAGAGCTAAAGCCTAAAGGGTTGTACAGTGCTTAGGAAATGGGAGGCACTGGTAGCATCAGATGTGATCTAAGGAAGAGGAAGTAGCTCCAATTTCTGTATCAAGAGCCCTCACTGGCCTTAAGGCACCCCTTGAAAGGATGACCAATACAATATACAGTATACAGTAATTATTTGTTTATTTACTTATTTAGTAACAGTAGTTATTTATTTACTTATTTATTTATCATATATATACATGTATATATATTTGGCTCATGATATTTTCAACTTACAACGGGTTCTTTAGAACGTAACCCCATCATATACATGTATACATGTATATATATTCGGCTCATGATATTTTCAACTTACAACGGGTTCTTTAGAACGTAACCCCATCATATAACATGTATATTATATTCGGCTCATGATATTTTCAACTTACAATGGGTTCTTTAGAACGTAACCCCATCATAAGTCAAGGAGCACCTGCAATTTATTAAATCTGAGTTTTATACAGTACTAAAAATGTAAATCACATTAAATGAAATAATAATAGGAAAAGACAGTAATTACAAATACATTAAAAGACTCGTTATACTTACCATAATATCAGTATTGGAAGACCAGTCATGGGAGGAAAATGTGCACGAAGATAATCAGAAATTCTATCGTCCAAGGAGAGATTTTCGGGTCGTAAAAGAAGGGCACTCATCAACTTTAATCCTTCAGTGCTCAGTGCCATAGCATCACCAATTGCCATGCCATATAACAACCCTATTGTTAAAAAGATGGTGCTGATATTACAAAAGAATTTACACAATTGTGTAAATTACTTTTCATTACTCTTAAAAGAAATTTTGTTGAAGTATTAAATGGAGCGAATGGAGCGAAACAGAATGACTTCAAGAGTGTATCAGTCTGTAGTGGAAGGAAGGCGGGGTAGGGGTCGGCCTAGGAAAGGTTGGAGGGAGGGGGTAAAGGAGGTTTTGTGTGCGAGGGGCTTGGACTTCCAGCAGGCATGCATGAGCGTGTTTGATAGGAGTGAATGGTGACAAATGGTTTTTAATACTTGACGTGCTGTTGGAGTGTGAGCAAAGTAACATTTATGAAGGGATTCAGGGAAACCGGCAGGCCGGACTTGAGTCCTGGAGATGGGAAGTACAGTGCCTGCACTCTGAAGGAGGGGTGTTAATGTTGCAGTTTAAAAACTGTAGTGTAAAGCACCCTTCTGGCAAGACAGTGATGGAGTGAATGATGGTGAAAGTTTTTTTTTCAGGCCACCCTGCCTTGGTGGGAATCGCCAGTGTGATAATAAAAATAATATATTAAATGCTGTACAGTACCCATAAAGAAAAGAAAATTATTCTCAAGAATGTTGGTTATTCATCTGTCTCAAAAGTTTCTCAAAAAATTATTATACCAAAGTTTATCATAGATTAAACTGGCTTGAAATGCTGTACATAATCATGGGTTTATCTGCATGCACACCTTCCAGCACGACCCATCCCTGTATAAAACAATACATCCTGGAGAAATAAAACTGAATTGAATATGAAAAAAAAAACTGAATTCAGCCTGACTTACCAAGAAGCATATCTCTGAGCTGGTCAGGCTTAAGGGTACTTGCAGAAACTGGTGGCATCAATGGGCACCTGCGCTTATTTGTCCGTGATGTTCCCTGGGCCTGACGGTATTCCATACTTGCAGACTCTGGGTTAGACACACTGGCCAACACCTGCTGTCCTCTTACTCGAGTAAATACACTCCTCTTCACTGCAGTACTAGAAAACACAGTACAACTATATTTTTGCCAAAGTTTGATTAAACATAACCTAAAATGTAAAACCGAATGTATAAAAATGTATTCTTTCCTCATTACCTGTAATCATAAATCTGACCTGTAAGCCTTAAAACAAATAAACTTGATAAATATTATACATACAGCATGTATTAATACACTATTCAGTTTCTCTTGTGTTCCTTGAAATTCCTAAATTTATTGTTATGATCACTTAGAGATCATTTATATAAGCAATCAATTAATTATTATCTTATGTCTTAAGATAGGCTTAAGTTTGCCTGAAATGCTCTGATTACTAAAAGGCTTTCTGTATGGAAAAATAAAAAACAAATGTAGTAAAATGCAATCCTTATTGATCCTTTACTCACCCAGGAAGATCTGTCTGTGACCTGATAAAGCCCACTGTGTGGGCAAAATGTTGTCAGTAAAGGATCGCATTATACGTATTGTAATTGTGTTTATTTTTCCATCATGTCGGTATTTTATACTATTTATCTCCAGGCTTTCTGCATGCTTCAGTTAATTTTCTTGCATTATGATGAAATTCAATGTATGTATAGTACTAGAAATTAATATTTAAATTTTTTTCTACACAACGGCCATCTTCCACCGCAGTAGGGTGACCTAAAAAGAAAAATGAAAGTGATCAAGGTCCCAGGACCAAAACATTTTCTAATAAATATGTCCTAGTGTTTGCTTACATATCTTTTTAAGCCAGAACTGGAATTAAAGCTAACACTTTCGGAGAAGAAGAAAAAACAGAGTAGGCACATTATGGTGTGCAAAGAGAATTAAAAAAGACTTCGATTCTAAAACAAATAATACATGAAAGGCTTTGCTAAAGAAAAAAGTATGGAATTTATTTTACCCCTGTTGACTGGTGGGTAGATGCCTCTCTCTTAGGAACTGTAATGTGGCTTCTGAGCCGGTATCACAGATGGCTTGAGGTGGATGGATAAGATCATTCCCACCAGTAACTAATACATGGAGCCTGGGGCACTCCACTAGAGTGCCGGGAAGTGCTCGTAGACGATTGTTGCTCACATTCAGTTTCTCTAGCTGAAAGAATTTAAATTAACAGGTAAAACATACTGTTTAATGAATAATGTAAATGTGATGTTTGTGAACAACAACTTAAGATTACACTTTAATATGAAATGTTAACATTATTATTTTCATGGGGAAGTGCTCAACCTGTAAGGGTCACACAGCACCTAGTTAATGGGAGGTAAATAGGTTAGATCTAAGGAAGATTAGGGTAGCTCTAATTCTTTGGATCAAGAGCCCTTTAACAGCATTAAGGCCTCCCCATGAAGGGTGAACACCATGGAGTGATAATAATAATAATAGAGCCTCTCCTCATTTAGCAACATCTTGTTTACCGACAACTCGGACTTACGAGGGGCTCTCTGATTAGTATGCATGCCAAAATAATGTATATTAGAGTTGATTTCCTCTATTCCATTTATTACAATATACAGTGGACCCTCGACCAACGATGGCATCGATTAACGATATATCCGACTAGCGATACATTTTAACGCAAAATTTTTGCCTCGACTAGCGTTAAAAAACTCGACCAACACTATTAGTTCCGTCTGAGACGCGTCCACTTCTGGCCAGTGTTTACAAGCCAGCCAGCCACCGCAGTCGCTTCCAAGCATGCAATCGGAACATTTCATATTATCACAGCCTTTTTAGCGATTGCACCTGCAAAATAAGTCACCATGGGCCCCAAGAAAACTTCTAGTGCCAACCATACAGCAAAAAGGGTGAGAATTACTATGGATATGAAGAAAGAGATCATTGCTAAGTATGAAAGTGGAGTGCGTGTCTCCGAGCTGGCCAGGTTGTACACAAAACCCCAATCAACCATCGCTACTATTGTGGCCAAGAAAATGGCAATCAAGGAAGCTGTTCTTGCCAAAGGTGCAACTATGTTTTCGAAACTGAGATCGCAAGTACTCGAAGATGTTAAGAGACTGTTATTGGTGTGGGTAAACGAAAAACAGATAGCAGGAGATAGCATCTCTCAAGCGATCATATGTGAAAAGGCTAGGAAGTTGCATGACAATTTAATTAACCCTTTGAGGGTCGACAGGCCCTCTCCGAAACTCGTTCTCAGGGTCGGCCAAATTTCAAAAAAAAAAAAAAATTATTTTTTCTTATGAAAAAATAGAGGTTTTTTTTCTAAATATTATAGGCTAAACAAAAAAATTTTACCGTTAATACTTACCGAGATATGGAGGCGTGAAGTTTGCCAAAATTGAACAACATCTGGTAACATCGCCGACTGCCGTCACCCGGTATTTTTCAATTTACTTTTTTATGTACTATTTTCAATTATTTTTCAATTTTTCTTTTTCTGAGTAACTTTTATGGCCTCTGAGGCCAACATGATCAGTATTTTGTAAGTTATTTCTTTTTCAATACTACACAATAAGGGCATAAACACTGTTGTCATTATTTTGTTTACAAAAAATATTTACACAAACAAACGATATGAAATGTTGCTTATTACTATTTTTCTATATTTTATATACACATATACAGTCACAGGGAATGTTTCTAGAAGTTCTGCAGCCTGTGGAAGTCTTTGAAACTTGGTGTCATGCACAGTGGTGTTTTACACTCCTCACGCATAAAACGAGTGTCTCTGCATTGTTGTGGGCGTTTTTTTGTATGTGCACAGACATAACACCTCTTCTGAGCCTTTTTTTTGAAAGCAGTTGCAGGCAGTTTTACCAGGAAGTGATCACCATGCTTCAGACGAGCAGGTAGTTGTTGATAATTTGGTGGGCGGTCAATTGCAGGTGCTGTTCCTTGGTACTTGAATACTATTTGTCTGATGACAGACAAACAGAATTCGCTGTACTGTGGTTTGTTTCTGGTCCTCATCTTATACATATTATAAGCATTGAGCATGGAAATGTCCAGAAGATGGAAAAACAGTTTGATGTACCACTTATAACTCTTGCGAACACAATCAGCAAACCCAATCTGCATGTCACATTTGTCCACTGAACGCATGTTGAAGGTGTAATCAATCACAGCTGCAGGTTTTAGAATGGGTTCATTGCTCTCTCTATGCTGCCTGCCACTGTCTGCCATTTCATTAGGTGAACTGATGACAACAGTGTGACATCTCGTTTGTCATGCCACCGAAATGCCATGATGTCATTGGCAGCAAATGCCTGCACCTCACCTCTACGAGTGCCAGCGTCAAACCTGGGCATATGTTTCCGATTTGCACGCACTGTGCCACACACATCTGTCATGTTCACTCGCAAAAAATCACTGAGTGAGGGGCTTGTGTACCAGTTATCTGTATATAATATATGCCCCTTACCAAGGTATGGTTCTATCATTGTTCTAACCACATCACCTGAGATGCCCAATAACTTCCTGGTATTTTGCAATGTATAACTTCCAGTGTACACAATAATATCCAATACCAGACCACTGTAACAATCACAAAGCACAAACAACCTTATACCAAAGCGTTTCCTCTTGCTTGGTATGTACTGCTTGAAAGAGAGTCTTGCTTTGAACAGAATCAAAGACTCGTCAATTAGTACAAGCTTCCTGAAGGGATAAAAATGCGTACTGAATTTCTCTTTCAGATACACAAACACATTCCTAATCTTATATAACCTGTCAGTTCCGTCAGGCCTGGTTTTGTCTGAGAAATGAAGCATACGTAACATTAGCACAAATCGATTCACTGGCATTATATCACTGAAACCTGGGGTAGCAATCAGGTGGTCTGTTGACCAGTATGATTTCACTTTGTGCTTATACACATGTGGCATAAGCATTATTGTGGCAAAGAAAAGATACATCTCAGCCACAGTTGCCTCCTTCCACTGGTGTAGAAGTGATTTTGGTGAAAGTAATGTGTTTGTCATGGTGTACTCGTAGTATGTGTTGCTTTCCATGACAATACTTTCCATCAGTGGTTCGTCAAAGAATAACTCGAAACATTCCAGTTCAATGGCATTGTTCCCAAGTGTACAAGATGGCCGTATTCCACTTTGGCTGTCATCAAACTGGTGGGCATTTGGAACAAAATTGACAGCTTCCTGCCAATCATTTGTATTTTATAGTTATCTGTTTACAATAATGTCTTATCACTGGTTTCATCATTGCTTAGTTAATCTTAAGTTAATTTTAAGCCAGCCCGTAATGCTATGCATATAAGTGGCTTTGGCATGCTGCTCTTACCTGTATTTTTTTTGTACCTCTGTATGTATGCTAAAATTTATAAATAAATAAATAAATAAAAATCCCAGGTGCGGTCTGCTGGTGGGTACTGGACAATGACAGGTGGTTGTGGTTGTGGAGGTTGTGGTTGTGGAGGCTGGTGTGGTGGGTGGGTGGGGGATGGTGGCCTTTGTTGTAGATCAGCTGAGGCAGCGGCGTGGGTGGCAGCGTGGGTGGCAGCATGGCCCACTGCTGGTGCCTCACCGCCGGCACCACTACCACCACGCACATTTTCCATCCCAATTGCAACAGTATCATCGTCATTTTCACTGTCAGTTCCTGTTGTACAGCCACGGGATGTACTCCGAGATGTACTCCTTCCCCTTGGAATAGCATTATGGCACACTACCAGAGCACATATATCGTCGTATATACTGACGCTTCCACTGGGGAATATATGCACTTCACTATCACTACTGGAACTAGTTTGAAGAGCTTGTAGTTCATTATTCACTATCACTATCATCACCCATGCCTCATCTGAGTCTGGGATTTGGGAATAGAAGTTTCCTCTTGGATTCTGGTACAACTGAACGTGAACAAGATGGCCCAGCACCAGAGGTGGAAGCTGAGGGTCGTCTGGGTTTTCTCACTATTACCGATATTAGGTCATTAGTTCGGTCAAAACCTCACCAAAACCTTGAAATCATCTTCACTGGCACTTCCATCTGTATTAGAACTGTCACTGGGGAACAAAAGTGTCCCAATTCGCCGAGGAGTGAGGAGCTTCTTACCGCGAGGCATGGTGGACATTGTTTACTAAGATGGCGTTCCCACAATGCACCACTGGGTCCCAGATTTTTTTTCTACCGCGCACACCGACCACACAGACCCATTCTCTCACATGTAGGCCTACCAGCCTTTTCCCGCGAGATTTGATGGCGCTAGAATTTGTGCGTACTAGTACGTCAAAAACCCCTGCGCGTAAGACATACTAGTACGTCCAAAACCCTCAAAGGGTTAAAAAAATGCCAGCAACTAGTGGTGATGTGAGTGAATTTAAGACCAGCAAAGGTTGGTTTGAGAGATTTAAAGGGAAGGGAAGTAACCCTGGAAAAGGACTTGCCACCTCAAGTCCTAATGGAAGGGGATTCCCCTTCTAAACACTAAGACCATCAACACTCTCCCCTCCTCCCATCCCATCAATCATCACCAGATCTTCAATAAAGGTAAGTGTAATGTAACTGTGCATGTCTTCTTCAGTTTGTGTGTATTAAAATTAATATTTCATGTGGTAAAAACAATTTTTTTTTCATACTTTGGGGTGTTCTACACGGATTAATTTGATTTCCATTATTTCTTATGGGGAAAATTAACTTGACTAACGATAATTTTGACCAATGATGAGCTCTCAGGCAACGGATTAATAGCGTTAGTCGAGGGTCCACTGTACAGTATACTACAGTGAACCCCTGGGTTTCGGCCATAATCCGTTACAGGAGCTAGGCCTAAACACGAAACAGCCGAAAGGTGAAGCAATACTTCCCATGAGAAATAATGTAAGAAAAATTAATCCATTCCAGACTTACAAAAACATTCACATAAATACATTTTTTAAATAATAACTATTTACCTGGAGTTTACCTGGAGAGAGTTCCGGGGGTCAACGCCCCCGCGGCCCGGTCTGTGACCAGGCCTCCTGGTGGATCAGAGCCTGATCAACCAGGCTGTTACTGCTGGCTGCACGCAAACCAACGTACGAGCCACAGCCCGGCTGGTCAGGAACCGACTTTAGGTGCTTGTCCAGTGCCAGCTTGAAGACTGCCAGGGGTCTGTTGGTTAATCCCCCTTATGTATGCGGGAGG